TATATATATATATATTGAAAAAAAAGAAGGAAAAATATTAGAGATATTCTGAATGAGGAGTTTTTATTTGTTCATAATTGTGTCAAAGCATGAGAGGAATAAAGAGTTGATCCTAGGGCTTGAAATAAAGAACCCTACATTGCCTAACATTGTTCTTACTCAAGAATGTCCGTGTTGCATTTTAATTTCCACTGTCTTCATTTTTACCAAAACAAGTAGGCTATGATTCTTAATTCCCTTTGTTCTATTACTATTACTTTTCTTTCATTTTGAAGGTGTATAAGTAGGCCAAGATTCTTGCCTTTTGTAAAGAAATCATCTCTTTCTCTCCCTTTTTTCCTTGTAGTTTCTTTCCTTCAATTTTTCCTTTTTGGTGTTGCTTTTTCCCCTTGTATACGTTTCAAATACTTTTGTATAAATAATTATTTAGTCAATCTATTAATCATTTACATAAATAAAAATAAACAAATTATGTAGCCAATGCTCATTTTTCTTTTCGTGAATGTGAAGAAAAGAAAAGAGAAGGTGAATAGTTTATAGCATAAACTTAGTACTGTCATTTGTCTCATCCACTTTAATTTATAAATTACAATCATAATATTTCAAAGTAAACGTCGAACCTTTTTATTTATTTAAAATGTGTGGTCTTAAGTAGAATGAGATTCTTTTCTCTAACATTATTGGTGTCTCTTTCTGGGCAATAGGAATTTCTGGTTAAAAGAAGTCAAATTTTCAATATGCTCATTTTTTGAGTGCCCTCCGACCAGACAAAAGATGGACACCTATTGAGCCATAATGTGACAACATATATCCTAGATTGTCCATAACCTTGACATATTAATAAACCATCAAGAATGAGTTAATTGAGTAATATGGGAGATGGGGTAGTATAATAGCAAATAGTAAATAGGTAAACTAATCTAATATCACACCAGCAAAAGATTAGCTTTAACCGTAGGCAGAAAGCAGCAACATAACTATGGCTTTAACCGCATCCAAAAAAGCAGCAAAATGCCTTCAAATGCATCCCAAAACAGCAGCAAAATGTGGCTTCAACTTCAACTAAGAGAGCAAGTGAAATTAAGTAAATATATTGTACATCGATTAAAATTGCTAGAACGTTCCAAGAGAAAATTAAATAATGCTAAGAGGTGCAAGAACAAGTGTACGTACGAACTACACATGTGTTGATCTATTTTTTAGAACTATCATATTAGTTACATCTTAAAATTAGTTATATGATCAGATGAAAGAACAACAACAAAATTAAAAAGTTCAAATACCTTACAATTACTTTTTCAAAGGAGGAGTCCTTATTTCCAAGCCCCGCTTGTAGTAGGAAGCATTGTCTTTGTTAGTTGTCTCTTGAGCTTCTTTTCCCTCCAAGCCAAGGCGTTCAATTTTGCGTTTGCTCCCCTTGGCAACATCCATCATGCTTGGTGGGAACTCTTGGTGGATCTCATTTTCTTTGTTCATGTAAGATAAAATGGACAACTTTTGCATTGTATCATGACATTTTGCAAATAATTTTTTCATTTGAATTTTGAATATCTTTCCACTCAACTATTTCTGCACATCCGCAGGAGGTAAAATTTGGTTCTGGGAGGACGAAATTGGTTAGTTACGCATCAAAAGAGGGTCATTTTGCCATTTGTATGTTTTTGAAGCTAATAGTAATATGAAATATGTACCTTGACATGGTAGATGTCATAAATTTCTTTTGAGCTGAGGCATAACATTTTCTCGGCAGGTTTGTCAGAAATAATGGCTGTTGCAAAACCACTATTGTCTCTAACAGTGACTTCAAATTGACATCTGTTATAATGTAGAGCAAATATTTGGTTAGATGAATAAAAACCAAATAACTGTAAACTCTAAATAGTCATTAATCATATAGACGAATCTAGTAGCATTTATACCTTGGAATTAGATGAGTGGATCGTTGACAGTTTGTACAATAAATTATCCTCCGAGAGAAAGATCTCGTGAATAATTGCTTACAGTCAGAACAAACTAACACACAAAATCGTTGGTTCTCATTTGGCAGACAAAGTTCAGCTTCGACATACAATACCTGTCCATATATAATTCAAGAATGCCACATATTTTTTTGTGACTACAAAAATAATTAAATTTCGATAGAATAATATAATTTATGTTGTTCTTACTTGAGGTTGCGCTTGGATATTGGAAATAGCTATGATTTCATCCTCAAAGGGAACCACCATAACAGAGCCTGTGGAAGATGTACTCTTTATCTTGTATGCATTAAGCATTGGTTCAATTGTTTTGGCCCTACAAGGTAGATAAAATCTAAAAAGATTGTTTTTGTATATATTAATGCATTATATCAACAATATGCTTCTACATATGCATAATTGACAAAGAAATACAAGCATAATACCATGACTTCAACTCAACAGCTTGTGGGTAAGGAGGATTGAAATAGATTGTTGTACTAAATTTGTTCGACAGCCCACTGAATTTGTTCGATGATCCTACATGCATTCAAATATTAAGATTTGATTTCATTATTTGATATCTGAAAAGGAAAAAGGTAAAATCATGCAAGTACTAATACCTGATGATGATCTACCAATTTTTCTAGCAAGAATAACTGTGTATTCATTCAGTTGTTTCAAAAGTTTATTCCCATAAAGATCAATAAAATCTTCCCAGAATGTGAATTTCGTTGTTTTTTTCCTGTAAACAATGAATAGAAGATGTTCAAATACTATATTGAAGCCACATGAAGAAAATACAATATTTGCTACCAGGCTCTCCTGTGGGAACTTGTAAAATGATTCACAAACCCAAAACTTGAAGCATATAGAAGAAATATGAAATGAGCATGAGGTGACAACAATTCATAATATTGATGATTTATATCCTGATATAATTGGTCATTACTTTCAACCAACATACTCTTGTAGCAAGGAAGTCAAGTAAACGTAACAAAAAGTAATAGCTAAATGTGAACTTGGACGGTAAAATAAACCTCAAATAAAAGACATTCTTTATTTACAAGGTAATGTAAATTCAGAAGACACAAAAACTGAAAAAGTAAAATACTTGCCATATAGATAAATTCTCCCAAATATTTAAGTTGCAAAAACAAAAGAAGTCAAGTGCTTAGGGAAACAAAGAACAAAATATTTTACTTTACAATCACATAATTATGCATCCAAGTTACATTACATATACTTTAAGCTTAAGAGGTTAATATGAAATTGTGAACAATAACAAATATCTAGCTTAGACAAAAAAAAAGGATGTCCACATATTTCAATAAAAGGAAGCCCTGTTTCCCTAAGAAAAATTTTGGCACTATGAAAATATAAGATGGAAGTTACGCCTTTAATCTGGTTAAAGTAATGCACGAAGTCACAACCTAATGGCTAAGATGTTCTTTTTCACAAAATGCATTTTCAAGAATCCTAATAAAGCCACTATCTTGAGTTTTAGCCTGAAGCTTTCGTTTCTATGTGTGCTTGATTTAACAAGAACCATAGTACAAGAGTGCGTGTGCTTCACCCTCTTACCACTCAGCAATACTACAATATGGAAATATAATCTCAAACTAAAATGCTGCAAAAACAACATCATAGTTGAATCACATGCAATCTTTTTTTGCCACAAAAAGAGAAAGCCAGCAGCTACAGCCGAAAAAGGAGAGGTGGTTGAACAGGAGGAGGAGGAGGTGAAAAAAGATAAGGAACAACAAAAGAAACGGAGGAAAGGAATAGGAAGAGGTATATCCTTACTGCTTATCCATAATGATAAATTCTTGAATTCTTCTTCCATTTGCAGCATATGTTGAAAGGCCGCCATTAATCACAATAGCAAGGACATCTTACGTTAAACCAAAAAAAAAACAAATAAGTTAATATATTATGAAAATCATTGTGTCATAATACTAAAAAGATTTTTGAGAAGGTATAATAAATGGATTGTATATGCACAAATATCGATAATTAAATCTTTAAATACCAAATTCAGATTCTTTAGGTTGATACTCGAAAGTGTCAAATGCTGTGATAGTTAGGCGCGTTGGCGGAGGTAATGGATCCTCAGGAGGAGTGACATTTTCAATTGGCTCAACAATGGTGCTTCTATCAATTGTCCAAGTGAATTTATTAAGTGAATTTCCATATAAATAAGATGAGTCCTTCACCTGTGCAACCGACACCAAGTAAGTGTGGAAAGGATCAAATAGATCTTCAAAATGCATTATATCAGCGTTGAACATGATGGCCTGAACTTGATTTTCCTGTAAAAAAATAAGATATAATTAGATTTCAATCATATTCAAATAAATTGGGAAAAATTACACCAGCAAAATATATCAAATTTTAATATGAGCAATCTCTAGTATATGAGCAAAAAATGGATTAATTCAATTATTGTTGGCAAATTTGTGATTTTAAAAAAAATACCTCTTCATCCTGTAGAGTCATGAGTTGATATTTTTTGGTTTTCTCTTTGTTGTCTTTGGACGACCTTTATCAATTACTTGGATCTTACAGGTCCATTCTTCTGTATTGGGAGTGATCATGTTGATAGTTAACCTTTGACCCATAGTGGAATTAACCTGTAATTATAATATATTGATACTAGTATAACAGTATACATTAACAATAAAAATAGACATAGTTTAATATAAATGAAAGAATATAGAAAAAAATCAAGTTATAATTAGATTTACCATAAGAAATTATAGCATATGGTCAGGAAAAAGCTTTTTTAGTAATTTCATCATAGACTATATTATATGTAGAGTGATCATCATCATCGTCAGCTGTAGGTGGTCTAATTAATATTTTCACACAATTAGAACTTTTGGCTCTTGATAAAGCAACATACAATTGACCATGAGAAAAGACAGGTTCGCGCAAATAGATACCCACAAAATCTAATGTTTGACCTTGAGCTTTGTTTATTGTCATGGCGAAACATAATCGAACTGGAAATTGTGTTTTTTTAAAAGGGAGAGGTAATTTCTCATCTTCTGATGTCATGAGTGGTATTCGCGGAATAAATACATGTCTATTTTTAAAATCGCCGCTAGATATTGTTGCACTAATGATATGAGTTTTAAAATCATTACATATTAATCGTGTTCCATTGCATAAACCTTCATTGGGATTCAGATTTCTTAATAACATAATCGGGCAATTTTTTTTCAAAGATAATTTATAAGGAGGCAAACCAGCAGGATTTAAAGTGTGCGAAAAATCTTCATACTCACTCTGATCTTTTGGATCAATTGTCTCATCAGTAGCAATGTAAACTTTTTCGGTGGTTGAAAATTAAGCAAGAAGCATGTCATTTATTTCATCAACAAAATCATTTTTGGTTGTTAGAATAGTGTCACGACCCCAATCCCGGTCGTGATGGCGCCCAACACAAATGCTAGGCAAGCCCGACCAATTAAATACTCTTAACCCAAATACGCAATCCGTTAACAAATAATACTATTAAAATATCAAAATGTCAAGGTTCCAATCCGAATCTAAATAAAATAGTACGGAAAATAATAACGAATATCCAAACGTTTCCCCAATAGATCTGGAGTCACGAGTCTAGAGCCTCTAAATGTAACAGAGTAATATATTCATAGTAATAAAGAAGTCTAGGATAGGGAAAGACAAATAAAATAAAGGGGAGGAGTCGGGTCCTGCGGACGTCATGCAGCTACCTCAACAACTCCTGAAAATAAACTTCACGAAAACAGCAAACAGCTCCACTAAGTCTCCGGAGCACCTGAATCTGCACACATGGTGCAGGGAGTAAAGTGAGTACTTCCAACTCAGTGAGTAATAAACATATATAATGGCTGAAAGTAAGAAATCCCGAAATATTATAATATAAAGCTATAATCAACGATTCAGCACGTTAAACGATAAAACAACAGCAAACAATGACAATTAAGGCCAACAGATATAAAATGCATGAATGCAATGCAATGCACATGACCGCTGCGGCGCGCAGCCCGATCCATTTGTGTACCCGCGCTCACTGTGGGGGTTCAGACTCCGGAGGGGCTCCTACAGCCCAAGCGCAATATCATCGTAACGTTCGCTGCGGCGTGCAACCCGATCCACACTCAGTCCAGATATATGTATGCATGCAAGCCACTCGGGCACAGTCGAATTGTCCATTTTTAATTTCAGTTATTAGGAGTTATAGGGCTAAGTGTGTAAACCTTTATTTATTTACTAAACATTTCAAAGCAGTGTCTAACTCGGGACTGATATCATGAAATATGCTAAGTATCATGGAAGCAGTGATAAGGATCCCTGAAGGATGCAAATGATAGGCACAAAGCCCCAAACATATTCATAACAATCCAAGTAGGGTGATTACCAAACAATTTCTAGTCAAGAACACAGTACGAACATCAATTGGAACGGACTAGGTCAAAATCCCCAGTCACAATCGACCCCGCACTCGTCATAGAGTATGTGTCTCGCCTCAATATAGCATCATAATGTGATATACCGGGGTTTCAAACCCTCAGGTCATCATCTACATCTATTACTCACCTCAAGCCGGCCACAAGTCTAACTCGCTATGCCTTTGCCTTTCGAATCAACCTCTTCGCACGCCGAATCTGATTAAAACCACAACGAATACATTACAATAGGCTAAAGAAACATAACCCAATCGAAAAGACTCGAAAAACACCAAAATTCACGAAGTTGGCAAAACCCGAGCCCCGGGCCTACTCCTCGAAAAATTACGAAATTTACATCACTGGATTTCTCGTCTCGCCACGAGTCCATACATATAAAATTCATCAAAATCGGAGTCTATTTGACCCCTCAAATCATCAATTTAAGCTCTCTTAAGTTTCAAGCCCTAACCTCCATTTTTGGCATTTAATCCCTTAAATTTCAGTGTTAAATCCATGATTTTTTCACTATATAAACATAATCCGAGTCCAATAGTTCATACCTGATGAAGTCCCTTCGAATTCTCTTCAAAATCGCCCAAGAAACCGCCTAAGCCGAAGTCCAAAATATTTTTCTTCTCTTTAAAAATCGTGAAAACACTGTTCACTTAAACCCAGACCGTTTTCCGCTTCTGCGGTTATCATGTCGCACCTGCGGTCACCTCATATGCGACCAACTGATCGCTTCTGCGATCTCACTTAAATTTCTCCGGACCGCTTATGCGGTCTAGAACCGCTTCTGCGGTCACCGCATTTGCGGATCCACGTCCGCTTCTACGGAAATTTCCAAGCCCTCAAGGACCGCTTCTGCGATGGCTCACCCGCTTCCGCGGTCCATTTCCGCAGAAGCGGAAATACCAGATGACAGCAGCAACAGACCTGCAACACACTTCAAAACCTCTCGTTCAACCACCCGAATTCACCCCGAGGCCCCCGGGACCTCAACCAGAAACACCAACACATCCTAATACCTTATTCAAACTTGTTCCAATCTTTAAAACACATTAAACAACGCTAAAACCATCAAATCATATCGAATTCAAGCCTAAGTTTCTTAAAAACTTCCGAATTACGCATTCAATCAAAAACCCGACCAAAACACCTCCGAATGACCTGAAATTTTGCACACATATCCAAAATTACCTAACGGAGCTACTGCAACTCTCGGAATTCCATTCCGACCCTCGAATCAAAATCTCACCTATCTACTGGAATTCGCCCAAAATGCCAACTTTGCCAATTCAAGCCTAATTCTACACCGAACCTCCAAAATCACTTCCGATCGCACTCCTAAGTCAAAAATCACCTCCCGAAGCTAACCAAAACACCGGAATTCACATCCGAGCTTTCTAACCAATAAGTCAACGTTTGGTTGACTTTTCCAAACCAAACCTTCCTTAAAGAGACTAAGTGTCTCATTTCCTATCCAAATCAATTCAATTTAACTCTAACTCACCCGTTGCCGATAATAATACATGAAAGAGCAATAAATGGGGGGAAACGGGGCTGTAATACATGAGACGACGGGTTGGGTCGTCACAAATAGCACGGGAAGTAATAAAAGAAGCATTTGAATGACATTTGTATAAATCAGGATAAGTAACTCGGAAGAGCATATTCAATGGTTCTTTTTCAGAAGTAAAAGGAATAATGAGAGAATGAGGAATTTCAATTTTTTCATAGGCATTTTGTCTTTCTTTTCCATCACCAATTCTCATTAAATATTCACAAAAAGCAGGATCTGTTTTCGCACGCATATTCTCTGATAGTTGTAATTTTTCAAGTTGATTCCAAATTTCAGAGCACAATAAACTTTCACGAATAAAATCTTCCTTTTTTTCACTACGAACTACGGGAAGAGTTTGTCTAAAATCACCACTGAAGACAACTACCTTTCCACCAAATATTATATTAGTTTCCATTAGATCTCTTAAAAGCAAATCGAATGCTTCTATCGTTTCCTTTTTTGCCATTGAAATTTCATCCCATACAATTAGTTTTGCATCTCGTATTAAAGATGCTAATGAACTTTGCTTACTAATATTGCAGCTGAAATTCTCATTAACATCAATAGGAATTTTAAAGCGGGAATGAGCAGTTCGACCTCCAGGAAGAAGTGAAGCTGCAACACCGGAACTTGCAATTGCTAAAGCTATAAATCCTTTGTGCCTCACAGTAGCTAATAAAGCACGATATAAAAAGCTTTTACCAGTTCCACCGGGGCCATCAATAAAGAATGCCCCTGGTCTATTTGAAAATATTCTGTCAAGAATCATATCGTAAGCTCTTCTTTGATCAATGTTTAATTTGTTTTCTAACATTAAATCTTCTTCGCTAACAATGATATTTCTTTCGAAATGAACATCTTTAGCTTCTTTTGCTGCTGCAGATGCCTTTATTATTTCTGAAATTAGTTCAAATTCATTAATATCACGGCCCATTGAATGAAGAATATTGTTAATATGGTTTAACACTTTGTAACGGATTTCTCTTGTATCTATATTCGAATTTTTTTTGGAATCTTCAGACATTGGGTTTTCAAATTTTTCCCATAGTTCTCTTGGATTAGTTGGATTACAATATATTAATATCATAGCAAATAATTGTCTTAAACTGAACGGCATTTGATAACTTACAGCTTCAGACATACATTCTACCAAATTATTATCACACACTAATAATCCTTTTTTTTCTGCAGCTTCTCTAAAAGTTTTACATTCTACTCCATTTACAGTTCGCAAATCTTCATATGATTTTGGTCCTCTCACATTCATTAGAAGCAATCTAAGATAGTATCTTTTCCCTTCAGTTGGATGACATGTCACCACACGACCAATAGCACTTCCTCGTTGACGACGTGTCCATGTTTTATCTGTTGTTGACCATACAAAGTATTCTGAAAATTCTCGATATAATAAATTTAAGTCCATAGCATCTTTGTTTTCTCGATTCATTAAAAAAAAACTCAGTTAACATTGTTTTTTAACCATAGGATTGTTTACAATTTTACTAATATTGTCCACATTCTTGAAGGAAACAAGTTGTCACGACCCCAAACCGGCCCGGTCGTGATGGCGCCTCTCATGAAGACAAGGCCAGCCGACACAACACCCATATTAACCCTTTTAACCATTTATAGTCATTTTTAACGCCTTTAATTAAACAAATATTTCATAATATAAGTCTAAAGGAACAGTGCGGAAATAACATACAAGCCCGACATCGGGGTGTCACTAGCCATGAGCATCTACCAAGGTCTGAATACAACAAAAACAGCCAAAAATGTACTAAGTACAATAATGGAAATGAGAGGAAGGAAGCAGTGCTGCGAACGTTGTGCAACCACCTTGCTAACTCTGATGACTCCGCGTCTGAGCAATCAACACCCGCTATCGGGTTCTGAAATACCTGAATCTGCACACGAGGTGCAGGGAGTAATGTGAGTACTCCAACCCAGTAAGTAATAAGAGTAAATAAAGACTGAGCAGTATGAAAACGATGAATCCACATTTATTGTAAACTCAATAAGCACTACAGGCTTCCACATCATAATACGAGTCAATCGTCTCATTTAAAATCCGGCTTTTGGGTAAAAATCATTTGAAAAATGCTATCCAACCGTTTCAGTAGGGGTTTAATACCATTTATAATAAAAGGGATGAAAACCATAACCGACCCCTCGGCATAACAGAAAATTCACAATCCTTTTCGTAACTTAAAAACTTCAGTTTAAATGAAAGATTATTTAAAACATCTGTTCAACATTTTCAATAGAGGCTCGGTCTAAAGATGAGTGAAAACAGTAATTAAATCACCATGTTCAATGGAAACTCACTTTAAAGAGGAGTGAAAACAGTAAGTTCATAAACTAGCCCCTCAGGCAAAACAGCACTCATGTACATGCATATATACATATAGCCCCTCGGGCAAGCCTCTCAATCACTCCTGACTCAACTCTTACCAATCAGCGCTCACACTCAACACTCACACTCAATAGGTACCATATAGTAACCGCTACGGCGTGCAGCCCGATTCATATATCGCTGCGGCGTGCAGCCCGATCCATGTATATAGTCGACTACGCTCACTAGGGGTGTGCAGACTCCGGAGGGGCTCCTACAGCCCAAGCGCTATATCGCTGCGGCGTGCAGCCTGATCCAACACATCGTTGCGGCGTGCAGCCCGATCCATATATATATATTGTTGTGGCGTGCAGCCCGATCCATAAATATAAAACCCTCACATCCAGGCCCTCGGCCTCTATCAGTCATTGACCCCACTATCAGACCCTCGGTCTATCTCAGTCATTAACCTCACAATCAGACCCTCGGTCTATCAGTAAATCAGGGAACTCAGCCCAAAAAGTTTTCATATTTTTAAGAAGTAAGGCGATAAAACCAGGTTTAATCAAACAAACAGGTAAAACATGACTGAGGTTATGCTTTCAAACAAATAGAGTGAGGAAAAATAGTAAAAATGCCCCTAAGGGTCTCAACAGGTCGGCACAAGGCCCCAAACATGGCATACATCCCAAATTATAATATCAATATCTAAAATATGCAATATCATAAGATTTCAAATCAAATACGCGACTTAACAGTCGTATGGGACGGACCAAGTCACAGTCCCCAACGGTGCACAACTCCACGCTCGTCATCTAGCGTGTGCGTCACCTCAAAGTAACACAACGATGTATAATTCGGGGTTTCAAACCCTCAAGACAGTATTTACAATCATTACTTACCTCGATCCAGTCCAAACTCTAGCCCACGATGCCTTTGCCCGCACGAATCGGCCTTCGGATGCTCCAAATCTAGCCACAATCAGTACATAATCATTAAAATATGCTAAGGGAACGAAGCCCACTCGAAATTATCCAATTCACATAAAAAATCCCGAAATTGCTCAAGCCCGGCCCCCGGGCCCACGTCTCGGAACCTAACAAAAGTCACATTAATAGGATCCTCGTCCTCACACGAGTCTATACATACCAAGAACATCAAAATCGGACCTCAAATGGCCCCTCAAATCCCAAATTCTAGTTCTCCAATTACAAGCCCTAGTTCTTCAATACTAGGCTTAAATTCCATGATAAATTAGGTATAATTCACATAAGAATCGAGTATAAGGTCCATAAATCTTACCTCCAAGTGTTCTTCCTTGATTCCCTCTTCAATCCTCTCCAAAAAGCTTCAAAATCGAGTCAAAAATGGTGAACTTAGGCCAAAACTTGCAAAAATGGCCTTTTAAACATTCTGCCCAGCGATCAGAAGTCCTTCTACGCTAACGCGGCCGCATCATCGCGAACGCGATGCCTTAGCCTCACCAACCATCGCGAACGCGTTCAAGCATCTCGCGAACGCGATGCTTCCCATCCCGGCCCTTCGCGAATGCGGAACCCCCCTCTAATGCCTCCCTTCCTGACCCTTCGCGAACGCGAGGGTCCACTCGCGAACGCGAAGAACAAAAATGTCTGCAACAGCTTAAATCAAAATATGCAACTTCCTTAAACTTGCAATGGTCCGATTGACCACCCGAAATTCACCCGAGGCCCTCGGGACCTCAACCAAACATGCCAACATATCCCATAACCTCATTCAATCTTGTTCCAACCTTCGGAACGCTCAAAACAACATCAAAACACCAAAATCACATCGGATTCAAGCCTAAGAATTTCAAGAACTTCCAAATTACGCTTTTGATCAAAAACCCAACCAAGTCACGTCCGAATGACCTGAAATTTTGCAAACACATCACAAATGACACAACGGAGGTGCTGCAACTTCCGGAATTTTATTCCGACCCCCATATCAAAATCTCACCTATCAACCAAAAAAAGCCAAAATCTCAATTTCGCCAATTCAAGCCTAAACCTTCCACGGACCTCCAAAATGCATTTCGATCACGCTCCTAAGTCCCAAATCACCTAACGGAGCTAACCAAATTATAAAAATTCTGATCCGAGATCATATACCACAACTCAAATCTTGGTCAAACTTTTCAAATTTCAAGCTTCAAACTGAGAATTGTTCTTCCAAATTCGTTCCGATTACCCTGAAAATCAAAACCAACGATTTACATAAGTCATAATCCTTCACACGGGGCAAGTCATGCCCGAGAACTGACGAGCAAGGTGTAAAAGCTCAAAACGACCGGTCGGGTCGTTACACAAGTTGTTGTCCATCAAGATGTAGTTGAAGATGATATACATTCGGAAACATTTCACTAATAGGGAAAGCAAATATACACCGCCTCAGGTGGTGACACCCACCTAGCAGATTGGTATTCCTTTATTTCATCTATCTCTATGTTTGTATCATTAGCATGTATATGAAATGCAATTTTATCATGTCCTTTGCAAATATACTTATAAATATACTTAACAACTTTAATATCAGAGCAAATCTCTACATTTATATGACAGTTGAACTTACAAAGTAAATATGGATTATAAGGAACAACCCATGAATTATCAAGAAGGTATCCTCTTATTTACACTTACTTTCCTGTGTTTCGTCTTTGATAAATTGGATACGAATTTTTTCCTTTAGTTGTTTATTCTGCAAACTCCTTTGGATACTTAAATTTACAATGACCTTTTTTTTCATGCAAGAATTTGTTGGATTTAATTCTCCGCATGGACCGTGCATCATATGATCTATAACAAGTGAATATAGTGTAGGATTTTCTTTTTTATCCGGTAATTCAGCACATACAAATCGATCATATGCTTCAGGAGTTAGTAATTTATATTTTTCATCAAGTATTATAAGAAAATGAGCATGTGGAAGTCCCCGCTTTTGAAATTCCACTGTGTACATAAATGTTGCGACTTTACCAAATATTTGTGTTTTGAGAATATCCTTTTTCAATTCTTCTAGTTTTGCTCGAAATACTCGACTAATTAAATCGGGTCTATTTTGTGTTTCATCTATCGTCAGAAGGTTTTCTTTTATTTCAGGCCAAGAAGGATTACACGTCATAGTCAAAAATATATCTGATTTTTCAAACCGTTGCACTAATGCAATAGCATCCATATACCTTCGACGCATATTTCTTGGGCCTCCTGTAAAGCTAAGTGGGAGTATTTTTGTTTTTCAACCTGTGAAGCTTCTCTTTTCCCACATCGTAGAATATCTAAGAGCCCACCTAATACATCAACTCTGAATAAATCCTGATTAAAAGTAGCAAAGTCTAATCTTTGGCTTTCAATTTTTATCCATTCATCCACAACATATTGTTGGAATAATCTTCCAGCATGTAAAAGTATATTTTCATCATCTCTTATTTGAAGTTTGTATCAATAATATTCACGACAAGAAACATTGTCTCTTTTTCGTTTTCCTTTTTGCATAACCTCAGCTTCCATATCGAGTAATCCATCAATTGAACACATATTCATTATACTCGGTAATTGTTCATGTTCACAATATATTCGCATTGTTGATTTGCCGGTAGAGTGCTTAATTTTCTTAATACCACAATGCCATCCATTTTGACCGTAAGAAAACAATAATGGATATTGTAATGGATTATAACAACTATAATAATAATTAACCAGCTGACTTCTATCACTTTTCGTATATATACGGATATGTGGTGCAGGAATAGAGTTATTTATATCTTGTTCGACCCATATACCTTTAACTTCTAATACAGTTGGTAAATTATATACTCGTTGATCTAAACCAGCATCACTCTTAAGCGCAATGTAAAAATTAGATAATTGTGGAATATTTATTAAGGATTTCAAAAACATTGAGTATGGATTAATTTTTAGTATATTCATCAAACTTTTTACAATATCTTCATTCAGTTTGTTTGAACATGCCATTCAATTTCTCACTTCATTTTCACTATCAAAGAAGTATAACTGAAGGTTTTTTCCTTTTTGATCAGCTGGTATCAGGTCATTTATGAAATGATACAT